CGCCAGGACGGGGGTGTTGGGGAAGACCCCGCTCGCGCTGCGGGAGGACTGCCCCGTGTTCGAGCTCGAGATCGCGGGGTCGCCGGGCCGCCCCGGGGGCTTCTCCTTCGGCGACTCGTTGCCGGACTCCGCGCCCCCCCTGCTGACGGGGGAGCCGACGGAGTGCCGCTCGGAGCTCGGCTGTCGGGCCGGCGCCGCTGGGCTCGGGGTGGGCCAGCCCCCGACCGGCGGCCCCTGCGACGTCAGCGGGAGCGACCCCTCGGACAGGTTCGCCCCCGTGAGGTTCACCCACTCGGAGAGCTTTTCCACCCCCTCCATGAGAAGGTATCGACAGCGGCTGATCGTGTGGTGCTCGGACCAGTACTGCAAGGTATAAAAGAGTTGGGGGAGCAATTCGAGTCCCTTCTTTGTCTGCACAAAGAACGACGTATCCAATACATCGATCGCGGCGATGACCTCATCAACTTCAATATCGGATGGCATATGCGTTGGGGGTACGGAAAAAGTCCCATACCCCGATCCCGTACAGCAGGTTAGAAAAATAAAAACAATGATCGACTCGGGGATGATACCGCATAGGAATAACTCGCTAACAAAACGCACGTTTCCCGTCATAACGTGTCGTTTTTCCGTCAGCTCCTTATCCGATGTACTGTCATTGGCATCCACCTGAGCACCTGAGAGGAACATCTGCTGGCAGTGCGGTAGTAGGGCTCGCCGCATGCGGTACTCGGGACTTAGGGTCTTGTCTCCCATAATGTGCTGGCCCTGAGGGACCTTGCACAGGGCTGCCATAAGCTCCGCATAGGATTTGGAGAAGTGCTGCTCGCGAACTGCCTTCTTGAAGAAGACTTCCACGATAGTATTAAGCTGCTCCGCATTAGCCTCGGGAATAGGAAGCCGTAGCAGCTCCTTCTTAACCTCCAGGAACTTCTCGGCATCGGTGCTGACTTTGTTGAGCACGGAAACGACCATGTGGTGTATCTCCTTCTTCACCGCTACACCAAAAATACCCCTCCGCCGCAGCGGCGCCGACACAGCAATAGGGATTTCCTTTCGGTCTTTCCATATGTTTTCCATCGCCTGAAGCGCCGTCTGGCCTGTGGGAATCCCATCCTTATCAAAAAGGATGCTGCTGCGACCATTATGCCCCCCTGAGGGCCGTTCAAAAGACGAGGAAAGGGAGGCAGGAAAGGTCGTACTGTTTCCAAGGGCAGCCACATGTCTGGCTTTGTTATCAAAGTCGCCTTGCCGCTTCGCACCAAAGGGGACGTCGGACCCGAATAGGGAAGCCATTTTAATCCCACCAATCGTATTGGCGCTCGGTGCGGGCCTTGTTTGTGGTCGCGAACGGCCCGTGAGGTTGGGCTTCGCGGCGTTGGCCTCCATGATGTTATGTTTTTTTATAAACTCTGAGATCCCGACAGGGCAGTGCACGCGGCAGTTGCGGTACTTTTCCATCCATTCGGTCATTTGATGTGAATTGTAGGCGATGCACAACTCCGTGCAGGTGAGCGTGGGCAGGGTCTTCGGGTCCGTCGCCTCTTCGACGGCTTGCGCCTGCTGTGTTGGATTGCTCACCGCCTTTTCAGTCTCCTTTGGCATCTCCACACCGCTATTGACCTGGTCTAGTTCGGACGATGGGGGTATGATAAGAGCCTGCCAGGACTCCTCGAAGGTGGGTGATTGTAAGGATAGCCCAGGACTGCCACCCTCCCCATGCGGGGTCTTGACGTTGTCGTTGGTCACCGTAGCGGACATGACGTGAACATCATGAGAGTAGGGAAATCCCACTTCGTGTAATTGTGGATTCCCCACGGTTGATGAGGGGGTGGCGCAGGAACCTTGTTGAGGACAACCCGACCTGCAAGAATCATCAGTTAATGGTGAATCGACCTTAGTTTCCCCACGATACTCAATATCAATAGAGTGGGGAGGGGATACGCAGTGAAACTTCACAGGTGATGGTATTGAAACCTCCTCATTATTTCGAATTCTATCGCTCATTGAAGCAATGGCTTCTGTGGTTTGTTTTCCATTACCATGTAAGGTGATGACTTTGTGATACAAACCAAAGGTTCGCCGTGGGACGTTGAGGGTTTCCTGTAGGGCAGGGGGCAACTTGAAGTTGTAAGCCGGTTTAACCAAGCTGCCAGGGAGGGAGTTGGTGCGGTTAAAGGGCTTTAAAGTGTTAAAGACCTCGTCCATTGCCTAGTTCTTTGCTCACAGGGCCTTCTATATTTTCTACCTTTTGTCTACTCTTTATTTACTACGTGGGTGGATAGTAGTAGTGCTTGGTTATTCTATCAATAGTTTTACAATTTGTAGCAAGTGGTATTGTCCCTTGTAAGAAGTATATTTGTGGAATATACTTGTGCACTGCGGAATCCGATAATAAGGAAATAAAAATTCACAGGACTTGCCTCTCCTTAGTTTCCTTTCAGACTATCACCCTGTGTGCGTTTCCGCGGTGATGGAAAGGTTGGCCAAGAAAGAAAACTAAAAATTGCTTCAGGGAATTACGTCAAGAAGGGTAACTCACAGAAAGAATTTTCAAAATACTTATATATCAGTGAATGTAATTCACTTGAACAGAAACACTAAAAAAACGAAATGTTATCGATTCTGTCAGTAACCTATATCCTTCCTTCAGTCTCGTGGAGTAGTGGTGAGTATAAATGATTAATTCTATTTCAAGTACAATGCGTAGTGGTTGGCAGAAAAAAAAGGTGATGTGGCACCTAGAAAATTATGTAATAATAATAATAATAATATATCTATATATAGATATATAGATATATAGATAGATAGATATAGATATATATAGTGGGAAAAAAAGATAGAGACAGATATATATAAATAGGGTAAAACCTAAGTTTTATGAAATCAGCTAAAGGTCTTATAAATTTACAACCTAATATCGATGAACTTTTCAGAATGGAGAGAAAACACGGCATAGCAGATTTTTACCAGCGGAAAACGTCAGCAAATAGACATTCACGAAGGAATATAGAAAAAAATTAATCCGAGTCCCAATGAACCTGCCGAACCCTGTTCATAGAGTGGCGGCAATATGACAAGAAAAAGAGTCGATCTACTCACCAAGCAATGCTAATAACAATCAGGTTATAAGTCTATTGTGCGTGGGACTCCAATACTCACTATTATACATTAGTACATTTCAGGCATGCAAGCTAGACAAAAGCCCAAGGTTGCCTTGCCCCCACCTACTTTGTGGTCACCGGGTCGCTGCTTTAAAAACATCCTCGCACGACGGCAGACGAACCGATCTCTTCATATTCGGACCGCTTGACCCATAAATTCTGAAAAGTGGACAGGGAGGCTAAAATCGAGCCCCCGACGAAGACGGCGTCTCCCCGCTCGGAGTCGGCCAGGACACGCGCCCGTTCGGGCAGCGCCGGGGCGAGCGACTGCACCTCAAACTCGAGGCGGGAGGGCAGGTTTTTCAGCAGCGAGGCGCCCCCCGAAAGGACGATATTGCTCGCGAAGAGGGCGCTGAGGTCCTCATCGCAATCGTTGATGGACTGGGCGATGAGCTGATGGAGGCCGAGCGGGGTCGTTGTTGTTCGCAGGTTGACCTCCTCGCTGACGTTGAACTGGTCCGGCGGGTTGGCGAGCCTTGGGAGCGTGGTGGGCCTGAAGTAGAGCTCGGCCGCGCGGCTCATCTCCTCGCCGAGCTCCACCATCGACCCGTCCGGCAATTGATGCGTTGTTGGCAGGCCGTTCGCGTCGTCCCCCGCGTAGGCTTCGCGGCTCTCCGGGGTAAAGGCGTACTTCTCCTTGAGGTACCCCCACGCCTCGTGGGTCCGCAAGGTCGGGGCCTCGACCTCGCCCGGGTGGTGGGCGGCGATCCACTCCGTGAGGTCCACCCCGCCGAGGTCGAGCGCGTGCGTCGCGTGGAAGAGCGAGACCCCCTGGTAGACCGGCATGACGTGGCTCTGCGCGTGGCCGAGTTCGACGGAGACGCCCGTGCAGAGCCCGGAGGCGTAGAGGGCCAGAACCGGGCTCAGCGCGAAGTAGACCGCCTCGAGGCGGTGCTGCTCGAAGAGGACCTCGGCCATGCGGCGGCGCTGGCCCATGGGCCGCA